ACATGTAAAAAAAAAAAAAAAAACAATAATACAAGTAGAGAACAGGCTTGTACCGTTTTTTCTTTGGCCACTTGAACCCCAATCAAAACCATCTCCACGTTGCCTGCTAAGAGAATACCCAACAAAGGCATGCAAAATTCAGAATACATATTCTAAAAACTATCTCAAAATTACAGTAAAAATGACCACATTTATACAGAATGAAAAATCAGTAAGTCCTCATTCAAATTGAAGTACGCCCAGAAGTATAAGAAGAACCAACTCGATACTCGATAAGAGCACAGAAACGAAGAAGTTCAACTCGAACAATACAGACAAGCCGGAGAAATGGGGGTGGGAAGAAAAGAAAAGAAAAAACGCCTGGATTTCAATGCTGCTAACAATCAATAAAGAAAGAGAGAAAAAGAAAACAAACCGCTTATTCGTGGATGAGAACAAATCCTCTGCATTATCTGCTGATCTCTCAATATATCGTTTTCTTCTTGGCACTGGTCCAGAATCAATATTCGATTGAGCGAAGTCAGAACCTCCTCTCTTTACCATCTGCAAATGATTCAATCATACCAAAAATAAAATAAAATAACAACGCAGCGTTCAACAATCGTCGATAACATCATTCTCGTAAAAATATCGAAATGGAAAAGTCTCAGCTCTCTTTAATTTCTGAAATAACCCAAACCAGACACTAAGAAACAAACTAAATGAACTCGTCAGTAGGTGCATATGCATTGGATTACCTGACCAGAGCGCCCGAGAGTGATGGTGACTTGGGGCCTCGACATCTCCAGGAACGAAAACTGTGAAACAATTGAAGCCTCGACCTATCTAGGTAACACAAAATGGAATGAAACCCTAGAATTAATGAACAAGAATAATCGAACCGTAAGGAATTGGGAAAGAAATAAAGAAGAAGATGACGTGAAAGGGGCATCGTACGGCCACCACTCTGGGCTGCCCGCCTGCAATCAGGTTGCCTCCACGAATACACCACCGATTAAACGTATAAATTTAGTAAATTTTATGATTTAGTTAACTAAAACCTAAAACTCACTTTAATTTACATTTCTCTATATTTTACATTTTTGTAAATTCCAAAATTAAAATAATATTAATAATAAAAGGATAGTTTTTTCATAATTGCTCGTTCCAAACTTTTAATATTTAAATTTAGATAGTTTTTTCATAATTGCTCGTTCCAAACTTTTAATATTTAAATTTAGATCATCTTAACCTTACAAAATAATATTTATCTGGGTGACTCTAAAATCATTTAACTTTTTTTAATTTAACGTGTAAAAATCTGAACATATAATAATTTTATAAAGAATATGACATCTGCTAAAAGATTTTTACTTCTTGTGTTCGATATTAGACCTTCATCTACATTGCTATTGAACGTCTTATCCATATTATTGTTTTATATCATATTTGAAAACAGAACATTATAAAAGATTCTCGAGAGTGTACCTACAGCCCCACAAACTAAATATTCATCATTTTAGAAAGCGGGAAAAAAGGATCTCTTTCCTAGTTGAGTCGAACCGAGTGTGCCTACAACCCCACAAACTGAATATTCATCATTTTAGAAAGCGGGAAAAAAGGATCTCTTTCCTAGTTGAGTCGAACCGAGTGTGCCTACAGCCCCACAAACTGAATATTCATCATTTTAGAAAGCGGGAAAAAAGGATCTCTTTCCTAATTGAGTCGAGGCACCGGCAGTGTTCTTAGATTCTAAGAAAGATGTAACAATACCCTAGAAAGCCATGATCCCTCAAAACTGCGGCCTTTCTTTTTGCAAGTGCTTTTTATACCAAGTATTCTACAATCATCAAGACTAAAACGTTACAAATACCATGAAAAACTGTAACAAAAGGGGGATTTAGTATCTAATAATTTGTCAGAAGCAGATATGGCAGAACCATTCATTGTCTCATCAGCATATAAGGTTACTGTTATTACATACATAACTATACTTGTATATTTCCACCCGTTCAAGTCAAACCCCAATATGAATTACTAACGAACACAACTAGTGGAAATTAAGGGTTACATGTTTGCTGTTGTTGCCCTGATATCTTCCAAGGAGATTGCCTGCAGAAAAGAGGAGTGAAGAGAAATCCAGGGAGAGCAGAAAATAATTATTGATAACAGTTACTGTGGATGATTAGCAAATCCAGCGACCGCAAAGCATGCTTAACATTCGAGTTTCAGCGCTAAAAGAATTTGTGATCTATGCCAACTTCACATTTAGATGCATTCCAAGGAGTAGAACGAGCTAGTTAACGTCGAGAGGATCAAACTTAAACAAAAAAAAAAATATATATATATATATATATATTTGAATTCTGTAATGGTGATAATGTCTAGTAATAAACCACGCACCGTTTGATAATTTAAATCATACTTCCGGTAAGCAGTCATTTCATTGAGATTGCTTCCAAAAATTATAAGTAGCAGAGTCAACCTATCAGATCAAGATTAATTGATAAGAATTACCTGATCAGTGCCTGCAAAGTCGTTCTCTGGAGTCAGGAAAAGCATGCAGTGACACTCTTTCCTGCCAAGAAAAACTTTATTTTCAGACCACATGCGTCTGATATGGAATAAAATGAGTAACAATGACCAATTGTTTACATTTCCTTGCTTCCTGAAACCATTCTAATAGCCAAGGGCCTTGAACGTCAGCTCGCTACCCTATTATTCTTGGGAAGAATAGCATCTTTCTTTAATCATATATAACATAAAACCAACCTTCAAACCTCCTTGCTTAAGTGAACAGCTTGGTTATGTGTAACTATGGAGTACCAATTTAATTTACCAGATTACCATGGGAGATAATTCTAAGTCACTTCATGAAAGTAAACCCCTACTCTTCATATGGGAATCTAGGTATTTGCTTTCAAGTTCAAGAACCTAGAACTGTAAATCTTGGCACCGATCATCTTAAAAAACATAATAATAAAATGTGTTTCCCTAATCTCTCGAGCGAATTACAACCCATATGCTGACGCCCATATTCTTCTTGTGAGATCTTGCATCGGTTGGAAAGAAGAACGAAGAATTCTTTATAAGGGTGTGAAAACCTCTCCCTAGCAGACGCGTTTTAAAAACCTTAAAAGAAAGTCCAAAGAGAACAATATCTACCAACTTGGACCAGTACACTTCTTTTCCTTTCTCTTTTTCTAAGAATAAGACTTATCAAGCTGAATAATCTTAATGAAGAACATTGAGTTGTTCAATAAATCAAGTGACAACAAAGTTTTATGAGTATGATGATGCTTAGAGAGGCTTGTCCATGATTTTACAAATTCCAGCTAGGAAAAAAGAAATTTTCCTATGCTATCTTTCAAATTTTTTGCACATCAGTCCTTAATTATAAATGCATATTATACCTCTCTCTCATTGGAACACATGGACAGTTCCAAAAACCTTGTGCAACTTCAGCAGGTTTGTCATCATAATGCCTGAAAAAAAATCATCAAGCTATTTGAATTTACATTAAAGATAGTATGAACTACCATTAGTTCTAGAAAAGAATACAGGACTTCTACAAAAAGCACGAGAAACACTAACCGGCAAGGACAAAGTGGTGCACCCAATGTATCTTTGTGATCTGCTAGTCCCTGTTTAGATCTAACATGAGCTTCTCTTACACTAATTACAAGTCAACGACATTCAATCAATTAATACAAGGCAGGGGTAAAGAGATAACAAAATAAAAGAAATTCACAATTCCAAGGTAACATCCAACAATTTCATCTCATGATGAGACAACTATTCAACCAAATTCATGATCAATATCTCACGTGTACCCATGAACACAAGGAGAATTAATACAAAGATCCATCAAGACAAGCCAGTAATCAGTTTGCCATAATCAAACTAAAATCTACCGCTGCAAACTTTATCAGCAATATCAAGAATGTTTAGTAAAAGACTATAGGCAAACAAATTTTAATCAAGTTAACGTCCACCTGAGAGAGCACAATCATATCGAAGTTTCTTTCCTTCAACTGCTTCACCAAATAATAAATTTCTGTTCATTTTGAGAACAATCAACTAGAGAACTTAACAACTCATTACGTGTAATCAATCAAATGTTTCTACAAACATCAGCAGATAAACGCAGTAGATAGACGCATGACTACATAAGTATGGCAGAAAAATGAAAATTTTGTAAATAAACAATTGGATATTGATAAACTGAGAAAAGAACCTTGATTACAACCGCAGTGACGCCCTTGTCCACACAGAAATACGTTCCTGATTTACGAGCATACTGCTCCGAGAATTTCCTCATTATTTCGACCGATTTCTCGGACGGTTCCGCTGAAATAACAAGAAAGAAAGAAATTCCATCCGCATTATCTTACAGTGCTCGACAAGAACAAGAACAAGAACAAAAACTTCCTAGTTCGACCTCTTCATCAATCAACAGTGGCCGACGCAGCAAGCACAAATTGGCTCTAGAATCTCGAGATTTGAACACATCACTTCCATACATCAAAAAAAAAAAAAACAAGATTTACAATCAGTTTCAAAATCGGGTTTAGTTTACCTTGAGCTCGCACGACATGTCGGTGACGGGAGTGGCCGAGGGGGGAACCGGAGAGTGGAACGGCGATATTGAACGAGGAAGCTTGTGGAATCATGAGGACAAAGCCGCGAAAAACGAGGAAGAGAAGAAATCTGTAGAATCGGAGGAAGAAGAAGAATCTCTGGATTTGTATATAGTTTTTTCTGTAAAATAATATTGGAACGGGTTGTAATGGAAATTGATTTACAGAGATGTAAAAGATCGATAGAAGTGAATTTTCTGGGGGATGCCATTGCCTGGTTCCCTCCACTCATCGCAAATATCAGCAAGCGATCTCTGGGAACCACTCGGTTGGGATTTGAGATGATTCAAGGCTATGGGCCCAGCTCAGCTTCATGACAAACCCATCCTTATCATCATCGGCCCACTTACAATTTATAATTATCCTTTTTTCATATTAACCTTTATTAATAGATTAATTAAAGATTAACTACCACTGGCCCGATAAGCTCGTTATGTATCGTCGTCAGCCTTACGATTTTTAAAATGAGTCTATTAGCGAGAAGTTTTCACACCCTTAAAAGGAATGCTTTGTTCTCCTATCTACTCGACGTGGAATCTCACAATCCACCCCCCTTGGGAGCCTGCATCCTCGCTTTGATACCATTTGTAATAGTTCTAGCCCACCACTAGTAAATATTGTCCGTTTTGGCTTGTTACGTATTTTTATCAGTCTCACGATTTTTAAAACACGTCTACTACGAAAATGTTTCCATACCCTATCCACCTGATATAGGATGTGGAAGAGAGTGTATGGCATGAGTAATTAATTAAAGAAATAAATGTGTTAATATCATAACACATTTATCAAACTTGTTACAAATTTATTTATAAATAATACATGATTGAAGACCCATCAGCAACTCTGGAATGTGGACAACAAATGAACGAAACTTTATTCTTCCCATAAACAATGATTCTGTATAAACTTTTTACAGTTCAAACCCAGGAAGCTGATATGAACAGGGAAGATCAGAGTGTACAACAAATTCATTTCATGGATGTGAACTCATTCCTGAAGATGTAAGAATGAAAAGCATCAGCAGACTGAACAGAATTCTTCTGATTAAGGACTAAATTTACAGAAACTGAAGTCTATTTAACTGGGTTTAGGATTGACAATCCTGGTGTTTTGATATTGATACTCACAATTTGAAATGTAGATATTGATCGACCGTAAGAGGCTTCGGCCCACCGAACCAATCGATCAAGAATATGTTCTCTATTACTAAATTGTAGAACCGAAAGTCGTGATCCTTAGGCCACTCTGTGATGAACATAAACAAGAAAAATAAATGTAATGTTGATGAACAAGGAAGGAAATTGTGGCTGGAGTTTACTTACTCTTCATCTCTGCATGCTTTGAGAACAAGGAAGTTTTAGCAAACTCTGCTTCTTTGGAATTAGGATCCACCTGCCTCAGCTGTAGGCCAAACAGTGATTTAAGTTATTCAAGATGGACAGAAGATAAAGTTGGAGAATGTGAATGTGAAACCAACAATTTTACCTTCCCGATCAACGTAATCTTCGCGCAAGTCGGGTTTTCGGGATCTATCTTGCCACAAGTGCCAATAGGGTACTCACTTAGCGTAAATGAAGCCCTCTCATCTGAGATTGCATATCTTGCAGTTGGGTCAAGAGTAGTTAAGTAGAAATATGGCGTGCCTCGACCTTTGCCCGGTGGCCCATCACTAAACGAAACCACATTCCTGCAGGAGCAAATATTCGCTTAATCTTTGTATTATTCTTCTTTCCTACTGCTAAATACCTTTCTTAAGTTTAGCCCCATTGTAATCAACAGATAAGTGCTTCGAACGAGTCACACACAGATATCAGAGGTCAGTGATTAGTTCAGAATGCAGGAGGACGAGATAATCGGCGCGAAACAATAGAAAGATGTAGCACAACAAGGATGTTCAGAATTCTAGATGTAAAGCTGAAGAAATGTAACAGGATGATTGTAGAAGATTGTTTGCTTCTTACTCATTAAAGCAACCAACAACTGATCTATGCAATTTTAAAATCACAAAGAAACATGACATGAAAACGAATCAACATCGTATTGGAGAGAGGTGCATGAAGTAAAATGAAATGAGCTTTTGAACAATATCCTATCGTTTCTTAGTTGAAAAATGGTTTTGAAACTATTCTCATCAAGGCACTCAAAATACAGGGGATTGAGCAAATTGAAACCTGTTTGGATTGACTTTTTAAGTGCTTAAAACTGTTTTAATCAATCCAAACATGCCATTAATATCAGAACAAATTCAATCCAAACATGCCATTAATATCAGATCATATTAATTTTGCTTACATCCATAGCTCAGAAAGATGTAAAAGATTCATAAAATTCCTAGAAAGCAGCTAAAAATCGAGGACAGCTTAATAGAATATGAAATGAGTAAGAGATGGTTACCCAAAAGGCGCTCCCCCGAAATCACTTGAGATGGTGCTGCAGAAAATAAACAAAAACAATGAAAATTTTGAGCAAATTTAGACACTCCACAAGATTTCAAGACATCGACTAATAGAAAAACAACAACAATCACTCAAAAGCTAACAAAACGCTAAATTCCTCATTAAATCCAAACGTCCCTTGCAAATTTACAGCCGAAAAAACTAAGGATCAGTCAATCAACTCGAATCAATTCGATTAAACAACAAAGAACGAACTAAATTGAATCAGATGCAAATTATACCTCAAGATTCCCCATGAATTCTGAGAAACCAACCAACGAGCAGTGGCCGCAGCATCATCCGGGTGGGGTTTAGAACTTAGAAGCAACCGACCCCGCACAAAAACCTGCAATCCAGCAAAAGAAGATGCCAAATACACAAAAAACAGATAGTAAAACAGACGATTGAAGATGCCACCGGCCATCTTCGGCTAGAAACCACAAGAATTCGGATTAACCGAGTATAGATTAGGAGTGATGAAGATGATGATCAATAATCCGAATACCAAACTGAATTTATACTCGAAACCCACTTCAACTGCAGAACTGGAGGGCCATTCACGAGTAGAACGAGTGCAGAAAGCTTATGGACTAAGTTGGACGGTTTGAGGAGAGATCCTGACTTGTCGGGCCGGGTAGCGGATTTCACCCGCCCCTAGATTTGCACTATTCCAGCTGGCGTTTCAAGTTTTAACTCATAAATATATTTCACTAATTCTTAATATAAAAGTTGATTAAAATATATTAAACAAAATAGTAATGGCTTTTTAAAATTTAAATGTATATTTAAAATATAATTAAAAATTTAATTTAATAAATTACTACAGCTCACTCTCCATACGTGTATTTTTAGAGTTTTTATTTTAAGTTAAAAAAATATTATTAGAAATTGTCAGAAGTTTAATTTAGGAATAATTTTATTAAATTAGCCAATTCTTTTCCTTTTTTTATTTTTTCTTCTATTTTCTGAATTTGTTCAAATTTTCCCCAGACCTATTTTAATTATTTAATTAACCTATAATAATTTAATATTACTTTACCAAATGGGGTAATTTGTATTAATTTACATCAAATCATTTACTCGATACATTGGTTGAGAAGAGGCAGCTGACGTACGGATTTATCCACAATTACCCACCAGAGCACGTGGGTCCAGTTATGAGAGCCTTTGAGACATGGGAAGCCAACACCCATTTTACATTCTCCCAGTCAGCCAGGGTCCAAACCGCTGACACACTGTTTAGCCTGGAGAAAGAGACGTGGGGAAGGGGTGTTCCTTTTTTACGGTATGACCTGGAGTCGGTGGCGTTGCATGAGATTGGGCATGCTCTTGGGCTTGGCCATACCCACGTTCAAGATGCCGTCATGTGGCCTACCATGAACTTTGGGTCCAGGAAGACTCGCTTGCATGATGATGATATTAATGGTATTCATGCTCTATATGGAAACTAAAATTAGAGGAATTTATTAATTGTATTGGTTTTTTATGCTATGTTTTTTTTTAATTCTATTTCACTAATATAAAATCATATTACTTTTTATTTAATGTCACATATTCGTATAAAATAATTTGAATTAAGTTACTTGTAAAAGAAGCAACGAATTAAGTTACAATAGCTGCTCAAGAAGTAGTGGTGTATAATGCGTTAATGCCTGCAATGTCGTCGGCATGCAAACCCTTGGTAGCTCCTTCCATGATGGTTGGCCACATTATTGCTCCTTCGACCGAGCTGTGTTGTAGGCCGAGAAGGTGTCCGATTTCATGTAATGCGACTGTCTCCATGTCGAATGAATCGGGAATGGCGCCGATGGCCCATGGCTCAACGGCGTCGAAATGTAATCGCCCATCTGTGGGGGAAAAGGCGTGGGCTATGACCCCTCCAACGCCGTCGAATGCTTCTCCATCTCCATGGTCGCCACTTTCGAAGCTTATTTTGATGTCGGCTGTTTCGTAGCTAGAAGCGTGGGAGAAGGTGAAGTGTGTGTTTGCAGCCCATGTCGTAAAAGCTCGACCCACTGGAGCTATCGCCTCTGTTGGGGTTCCCGGGAGGAATCCTGTAAAAATATACTCCAACTCCTTAATATTGAAATTACCAAAATTTTAGGAATCACGATCCTCTACAATGGTATAATATTATCCATTTTGAGCATAAGCTCCATGTATTCCTTATTTATAAAATCCACGATCAACCCCTTAATTAAACGTCATGAACAATCATATAATTTTCAAATTCATATAAATAGAAGATTGGTATTACCATAAGTGAGGTGAGATTTTGAAGCAGGCCATTTAGGGTTTCCATCAAAGAAAGCAAAGTGAGAAACACCATGGAAACGACCACTGATTTTCCTATGTCGATTCACCATTTTCTTACCCGAATTCATCCTCGTCTTGCCATGGAACACATCGGCAACCCCACATCGAGGTTTCGACATAAGAGCCAGCGTCGAGGCATCGAGAGTACCAGTAGCCTCAAGATTGTAATTGAGCTGGTAAGTTCGAATGGCAGACTCTAAAACCTCGTCGAACTCATCATCGTATGTTTTAGAATGATTTTGAACACGATTCAAGTAGCCAAATCGGCGGAGATATCGCTTCATTTGGTGGAGTCCTTCGACCGTGTCGCCTTTCTTGCATCCATTGAGGTTGTTCAGAAACAGCAACCCATGGGACTGCGCAGGGTATTGGTGAGAAGATGATATTAAAGGGAAGAGAGCAATGAGAAGAAAAAGAGAGGAAGCTAAGAATGACAAGGCTTGAAGAACTGCCATGGGCGATGGAGATAAGGGGCTGTGGTTGGGCTGCGTTGGGAAGGAAGGGAGTGGGGTGTACTTATAGAACACATAGGTCAAAACGAAGGTAGAATTTGTGATGCGTTGCAGTCAAGCGATGGCTCAAGAATGGGAAGGTGTAATAGTAAATAAACGTTTCTATTTTAGATTGGAAAGGAAGAATTGCCTACTTTCACTAATTTCTATCCAATTACCTCCTTATATATAATATACCATTAAAAAAAAATACATTTAAATTTAAAATTAAAAAAAAAAAAATACACTTATCCTAGTACACGTTTCAAAATTACTCATAAACTTCCAAAAGTAACGTTATAAAGTTTAGAGATAACTTATGAAGGGAGTTTTTGTCTATATTGATCGTAAAAACTTTTTAAAACTTTTTAAAAAAATAAAAAAATACACTTGCCTATCGTCACACGTTTCAAAATTACTCATAAATTTTCAAAACTAACATTATAAAGTTTAGAGATAATTTTTGAAGTGGGTTTTTGTCTATATTGATGGTAATAAATTTTTTTAAACTTTTTTTATATAGATAAAGAGCGTTAACGTTACATTTAAAATATAAAAAATAATTGTTAAATGTAAGGAAAATTTTGAATTTATTTAAAAAATTTATGAGGGTATTAATAAAACCTTTTAAAAATTATATATATTTATTTATTTAAGTTCGAAAGTTGAGAGGTATTTTTGAAAAATAAATTATAAATGATAAAAATTTGGTAAATTTTGGAGGTCGATATTTTCTTATGACTTGAAAAAACAATATTCTAGACTCTAAGTAGAACTTGTTTGAACCGTTAAAAAAACTGTATAAACTGAAATTATTTGTTAGACCCTTCTGGAGAAACTGATAAATTTCAAAGCAGTCATTGTGGACTTGGTCAAACCTAACCATTTTAATATTAAATAAATAATAATTCATTTTCTGACGCAACTGTCTACTCAGCCAGCTCATTCTTCTTAATTTGTTAGTATTAATATTCTTTTAAATACTTATAATTAATTTAAAATTGTATGTTTCATATAATACGTGTATTGAATTAATTTATTATATTGTTATATTAATTAGTTACCATAAAGTAATATTATTACATTAAACATGAATTAAAAATAATGATTAATTACTAACAATAGTTTGAAGTCAAAATTAAAAGCCTTGGTACTCAAGAGGTAGGAGTGTATAAAGCCTTGATGCCTGCAATATCATCGGCATGCAAACCCTTGGTAGCTCCTCTCATGATGGTTGGCCACATAATAGCCCCTTCGACCGAGCTATGATAAAGGCCGAGAAGGTGTCCGATCTCATGCAATGCTACCGTCTCGACATCGTACGAATTAGGAACCGCCCCATCGGTCCAACGCTCGACTGCGTCAAAATGTAACCGCCCATCTGTAGGGGCAAAAGCATGGGCTATCACTCCTCCAACATTGTCAAAGGGAAAGCCATCTCCATGGTCACCCCTTTCAAAGCTTATTTTGATGTCAGCAGTTTTGTAGCTAGATGCTAGGGAGAAGCTGAAGTGAGTGTTCGCAGCCCATGTCGTAAAAGCTCGACCCACCGGATCTACCGCCCCCGACGGAGTTCCAGGGAGGAATCCTAAATAAATCATGATATTAGTATAGAAGATGATGTAAAATATAACTCAACTTTATATGAAAACTAAATTTACCATAAGTGAGGTGAGACTTGGAATTAGGCCATTTAAGGTTTCCTTTGAAGAAAGTAAAATGAGAAACTTGATGGAAATGACCACTTTTTCTATGTTGATTCACCATATTCTTGCCTGATTTCATCCCACTCTTGCCGTCGATGATATCCGCAACCCCGCATCGAGGTTTCGACATTTGAGCCAGCGTCGTGGCGTCGAGAGCTCCGGTGGCCTTGAGATTGTAGTTGATTTGGTAAGTTTCTCAAAGAAAGCTTCAAATCTTCTGACTTTACCCAATTTGATTAACATAATTTTCAACTTGTTTGAACCGTTGAGATAAAATAGAGATATTTTTATTAATCTACCAAATTACAGATTAAAGATAAGACTAAGACTGTGGTTAAACTAGAGCTACCAGCTATTCTACAGTGCCACCAATTTGATTGAAACTCAATACACACACACACACTCTAATGGGATGTACTCTGCAAATTAACCAAAGCATAATAAGCTCCCTTTTCCCCAATCCCCATCAGCGACGAGTGATTCCCAGTCTCCACTACCTTCCCTTTATCCAAAACCGCAATCATGTCGCAATTCTGTATGGTGCTCAGCCTGTGCGCCACCACCACGCTCGTCCTCCCCACCATCACTCTCTCCAGCGCCTCCTGCACCAATTTCTCCGACTGCCCATCGAGCGCACTTGTCGCCTCATCCAGCAGCAGCACCGTCGGATTCTTCAGTATCGCTCTCGCTATTGCTATCCTCTGTTTTTGCCCTCCCGACAGCTGCAATCCCCTGTCTCCACACAACGTCTCGTACCCATCCTTCAACCCCGAGATGAAATCGTGTGCGTTCGCTGCCTTCGCCGCTTCGATTATCTCCGATTCGTCCGCCGTTTCTGAATATCCGTACACGATGTTGTCCCTAATTGTTCCGGCGAACAGCGTCGGCTCTTGGCTCACTAATGCGATGCGTTTTCTTAGCGTTCGGAGATGATACGATTTTAAATCGCGACCGTCGAGTTGGATCGTTCCTTTAATCGGGTCGTAGAATCGCTCCACCAGCCCGATTATGGTGGATTTTCCCGACCCACTTTGCCCAACCAACGCCGTGGATTTACCTGCCTCGATTTTGATTGAAAACCCACGGAATATCATCGCGTCCGGTCGAGCAGGGTAAGCGAAATCCACTTTTGTGAATTCGATTCGGCCGGTTAATTTATCCGGTTTGTATCCTTCTGGGTTGTCCGGTTCGATTTTGGTCATCCGGTCCAAAACGTCGAAAACCGAACTGACCACGCCGAACCCTTTGGCAAGATCTGAGGTCATGCTGCCAGCGTCGGCGATGACACGGCCGATGCTAACCAAAACCATGAAGGTTTGGAAGACACCTTTAGCAGTGGTTTCGCCTTGGGATATTAACTTGCTGCCGTACCAGAAGTTCAAAGCCCATGTACAAATGGTGAGGCTTTGGGAGCAGCCGAGTCCAATTCCGGCATACCACGATTGCTTAATGCCTTGTCGGGTTGGGCCTTCTTGCGCCTTCTCGAGCATTTTAAGGATGCGGTCTTGTGAAGAGAAGGCCGTGACGGTTCGGAGGTTGGAGACAGCCTCTGCGGCGAGCTTACTGCACTGTTCTTGGGATTTGGTGGCGTTTTTGGACATCTTCCGTAGGAGTACTTGTCTTGTGTAGTAGCAGCTAATTACTGCTGGTTGGGCTGCGATTACTACAAGCGCCAGCCTCCATGAAATTATAAGCCCCATTGTGAATGCTACTATTACTGCTGAAATGGTTTGCATAATTAGAGCCATTCTATCGCCCACTAAGGATCGAACCTGCCCAAAAAGGAGCTCCCGGTCATACTTCAATACAAATTCATTGTAAATAAATGGGTTTTTGTAGCCTACCTCTACCCATATTGTTGGGACTTTTCCTCCTATGTTTTTGGATCAAATATTGTCCTCTTTGGACTTTCCCTCTTATTCTTCCCTTCAAAATTTTAAAATGCATGCATATATTAGGGAGAGGTTTCCACGTCCTTACAAAGAAAGTTTGGTTTCCCTCTCCAACTAATGTGAGAACTCAAAATTCATCCCACTTGTGAGCCTGTTGTTCTTGCTCGCATACGGCTTGGTGTGTTGGCTTTGATACCACAATAGTTCAAGCCCACAACCCAGTAGATATTGTCCTCTTCGGACTTTTCTTTATGGGCTTCCCCTAAAGTTTTGAACACGCTTCTACTGGGGAGAGGTTTACACATCCTTACAAGAAATGTTTCATTCCCTTTTCCAACCAATGTGGGAACTAAGTCATCAGCGAAGGATTCAACCGATCGCTTAGTGAGGCTTAGCCAACAACACGTGCCTTTCGGGGCCAAAAAGCCCCTACAGCGGGTTGGCAATCAAGCGATGGGCCCATGTATCGCTTCTAGCCCAGATTCTAGAGGCGTTCGGTCATAATCCAACGCACAATAACCAATTATGTGAATCAACTGTTCTTCTTATGCTAGGCTGAATTACTATTGTGACACAATCATGAGTAGGGTGAAACGGGTTTTTACCATGTTGGCATCTTGAGAGAGTCGGGTGCAAATTGCGCCACTAGAATTCTCGTCCTGATCGAACCAACCAACTTCGAAAGTAAGGATCTTCGAGAACATCATCTCTCGAATTCTTTTGGTGAGATATTCTCCCATGTAAGCGAAGTTGTAATGTTCGCAAACGTTGACGAGGAAAGTGAACATAGCCAACCCAACAAACCCAAGCGCATAAGTCCTCGTCTTGGTTTTAATCTCCTCGTGACTTGTTAAAAAATACACTGAAACCACCGATCCCATCAAGAACGCGTACACAGGCTGCACAGCGCCGAACAGCATCGCTGAAATGCACCCCATTATAGCTTGCTTCCATTCCGGCAGGTTCAAAGCCAGAAGTCTCCTAAACGATGGCTTTGGGAGCTTTTGTTTATTCTCGATAACGGTAGTTTCGTCAACTGGGTTTGACCCGACCGAGTTTACAGAGCTGGAGGGGCTAAGGAAGGAGAGGCGGCGGCTGCCAAAGCTTCTGATTTTGTCGAGGTGGGGTGTGGAAGATGAGGAGGGTTCGTTGGGGGATTGGTTCTGCGCCGCGGTTTGTTGAAGGTGGACGAGGGAGGTGTAAAGGCCGGTTTGGTTTTGGATGAGGTCATTGTGAGACCCTGTTTCCATGACTCTGCCTTTTTGGATAACGGCGATGAGGTCGGCGTTGCGGATGGTGGAGAGTCGGTGAGCAATAATGATGGTGGTGCGGCCGATGGCGGCTTCGTCGAGTGCCTCTTGGACGACACGCTCTGATTCCGAGTCCAAGGCGCTGGTGGCTTCGTCCAAGAGCAGGATTCGTGGACGCTTGATTATGGCTCGAGCTATGGCGATCCTCTGCTTTTGTCCTCCTGACATTTGTACTCCTCTTTCTCCCACCTGTTTTTCAACTTCAAATTATTATTAAAATAGCAAATGATTTGACGTTCCAACACTTTTATCCTACTTCTAAAGGAATACTTCTTTGTTCCACATCTAAAAATTGTATTGACATGATTATGTTAAAGCCCATACTTTACCTGTGTGTCATATCCTTCCGGAAACAGAGAAATAAAATTATGAGCGTTAGAAGCTTTAGCAGCTTCGATGATCTCATCCATGGTGGCATCCTCCTTTCCAAAAAGAATATTCTCTTTAATGGAAGTGGCAAAAAGGGCAGGCTCTTGACTAACCAGACCCATTTGGGACCTCAGCCATTTCAATTGCAGCTTCTCAATCCCCACTCCGTCCATCAGAATGCTCCCTCCCAATGGGTCGTAAAATCTCTGCAGCAAAGAGATGACGGTGGACTTGCCAGAGCCGCTGCCACCGACGAGGGCAATGGTGCGACCGGCGGGAATTGTGATGGTCAGATCCTTCAGAATTATGGTCTCCGGGCGAGACGGGTACGCGAATTGGACGTTGTTGAATTGGACCTCGCCGGAGACATTTTCGAGGATTTGACCTTCCATGTCGGCGGAGTCGATTTTAGGGACTCTGTTTATGATCTCCATGATTCGCTCCCCCGCCGCGATTGCCTCGGAAAAGTATTGAACGTTGGAAAAACTCGTACCAACAGCCCTGTCATTTCGTTAATTTCCCATGCAAATATTAGTTTTTAACAACAAATTGACGAGAGAGAGAGAGAGAGAGAGAATTTAGGGTTGAGTTCTTACAATCCGCCGACGGCAATGGTAACTCCAACGGCATAAACAGTCCCACCTTGAGCGCCATGGTACATAACCATTCGACTTCCATACCAAGCCATGAATGCCCAAATTGCAAACGAAACTCCATTACTTCCGATAGCCAAACCTTTAGAAAGTCCCTGTTTTAGGCCCAACTTCACCGAAGTTTCCAACGCCGACGAATAATCCGATTTAATCTTATCTTCTCCAGCGTAGGCATACACAGTTCTAATCGAAGAAACCGCCTGCTCTGCTACCATTCCGGCCTTCTTATACCCTTCCATGCTTTCTCTCGCGAAACCCATCAAGGTTTTGCCGTAAAGAAGACCGGGGATCAATAACAAGAGCGCGAACGGTAATCCCACCAACGCCTGCTGCCATAAAAGTATAAACCCGACAATGTAGCTTCCAAGAAATGTGGCCATGTTCATCAAAAAGTTCGGTATCTGGATAGATTCCCGACAACCCATGTCAAATAATATAAAATTTTGACTAAATTATAAAAATGGAAAAAGAAAGCTTTAACCTTTTCGCTCAAAACGTCTTGAATCACTAAGGTGTCACTGGAAACAGAGGCGATAACTTCGGAGGTGCCGGTGACATGCATATCGAAATACCCAACATCTTGCCGGAGAACTGCTTTAAGATATCTCGCTCTCATTCTCGCCGTCTGTCGCTCGCCGGTTCTCGTCCAGCAATATCCTTCTGAAAAAAGTGAAACAGAGCAAAAACGTAAGTATATTTAGAGAGCCTCTGAGTTGAAACAATTGAAAGAATTCAAAGAATTCCAAACCCACCGAGAAAGCTAACCACAAAAGCCCCACAAGCAACGTACAACAGAATCGCTGCATTCTGTCGCCAATGAAAGAACAATTTGATCAAAATAAATTTAGAAAGTCACAGAGTTTTCATAGAAATGAATTGAAAGAAGAGTACTCTGTCGATGGTGTGAAGAAAAAGATGCATGTTGGCGGTGGAAGCGGAAATTTTAGAGGTATTGCCGATGCTGTTCATGAGGCGGCTACCGACGAGCAAAACCACAGGTCTGGTGAAGCCGTCGCCCAAAGCTCCGATGAACCCCAAAGTCATGAGCAATATGTCGACGGCGTCGGCGTGCATGAAAATCCCCTTTATACCCCCACTCCTCTTCTTCTTACTATTGCTTCTCTCCAAAATTCCACTTTTCTCCCCCATTTTTTTTATTTTCTCGGAATCCAAACAGAACCACCGCCGAGAAAATTCCCACAAGGAAGCAGTCGGAGTAGTTGTGGTTACGTGTGTTCGACCCCGCAAGGACCTGTTTATATACCTCACTCCCACCTGATGTAACTTTCTTAAATTTTCATTTTCATGCTTTTAAATAATTTTCTTTTTTGAACTTCTTTAATTTTCTTACTTCCAATTTTGAATAGTTTAATTTATATAATAATTTAATCTCCAAAATTTAATTTTATTACAAATGATTTAATTCTCTAATTAATTTATCTACCTCCTTCCGTTAACAGATTTCATTAAATTCCTTTATTTAGATTATCATCAATTATTCCTACTCCCGAAATTTGTTATTAATATAATTTAGGTTCACGTTTAGGGTTTAAAATTTTAAGTACCAAAATCAACTTAAGCATGCTACGTTATCCATTCAATTAAACAAAACATAAAGTTCATATATTAATAAATGAAAAAAAGAAAATCCTATAGTTTATGTAATTATTACTGAATTTTTTAAAATAATGTTTATGTGAAATATTATTATTATTATTATTATTATTTGATGTATTTATGTTTTGTAACAAGATTCAAAATATTATGGATGGGCAAAAAGTTCAGATTTTATACTATTTTTAGTGTTCAAAATATTGCTTTACGTGTATTTATTTATTTATTTATTTATTTTTTAAAATTTTAATGCTTAAAATCGTATTTCTTGTTCCACAACATGATTACAATTTTAACCATTTCAATTCTATTATGGTAAGTTAATAAAGATGGTGAATTCTGTTAATGGTAAGTTAATAAAAATGGTGTACAGTTGGTAGATTACTTACTATAAATATTCAAATAATCCAAAAATAAGTTATTACGATAATGATCCATTAAAACATAAAATGAAGTATTTTGTTTTTTTAATAGTGATACCATATATAATATATATTTTTTTAAAATATATATTATTTTATTTTTAATTTTAGGGTTTCAAATTTATTTAATTATTATTGGATTATATTTGAATATAGTTCAATAGTTATCGTCTGGTTGGATTCTTATTTTCATAATTATATTATTATATTTTAAAGTTAAAAAAATACAAAAAGAAAAAGAAATTGAGATATTTATATTGGAATTAAGCAGATGATTCCATTTTCATTTTTTTTTTAATTTACATTTTTAAAATTATAAATATTTATTTCTATGTTGACTAACCTGGGATTTGGTGATCCTACGTGGACATGTCTGTGGAAAGATTTTCAAAGTTTGGAATCTTTGACCCGGATTAAAAAAAATTATAATATTTAAAATATTAAAATACCATAATTAAAAGTCAAAATCATAAATGGATATGATACATAATCATGCAAAAGTAAACCGTAATTTATTGGGACAATCTCCAATGCACCTAAACCCCCATCCTATTTTAAATATATTTATATAAAATAAATATATATTTTTTAATAGAAAAATATTTTAAAAAAATTATCTATTAAAAATTTGAAAAAATTATCAGTGCTACTCAATTTTTAAAAGGATAAATTAAAATTTTAATAAAAATGTAAATTAAAATAGGAGATAAGAACAGACGAGAAATTTGAGTTTGAATTTTGTGATTTTTTATTTTGATTTTTGTTAAAATTAAGAGCATTGAATAGATTTGGTTGGGTAGTAATTTAATTAGGTATAATTTTTGTTTTTAATAAAAGTAAAATAATGTTTTATAAAATATCTATTTTATTTATTTATTTATTTTCAAAATTTTGTAATTCAATATTAATATATATTTCAAAAAAATTATCTTAATTATGAAATGGGCCACTTTTTATTTTTATTTTTATTAATGTATATATATAACAATTACGATTGAAATGTAGTGCTAAAATTCTCTCTAAATTATTTTTATGAGTAATTATTTTATTTTATAATCAATATAAAAAATATTTCGACAAAAACATAATATTGACGATTAAATCAGAATTAGGTTATGTATTGGAGAACATTCTCGACTCTTAAATCGTCCAAAACCGTCAAGAAACGAGGAAAAATCCAAAGGTAAAATTCTTGGATTTAGATTTTAGGATTTCGTTCATACGTGTGTGATATAGTAAGAGTTAGAATCTAAAATTTGATAATGTTAATCTAAGGAGGATTATGCTCAAGTACCATGAAGCTCGTTGGAGTTATTCGAATAGTAAGTAGGAGTTCTCACATTTGTCAAAGGAGGTAGGTATTGAAGTTTCTTGTCATTTTTGGATTAAGATAATTATCTCTATGTTAGAAATAAATTACAAGAAAAATACCTACTCATCGATGGATATGCATATCGTGAAGGAACCGTGTTAATCCAATTTATGCAGAAAGAAATATAGAAATGCAAAGAAAATGGAAAAAGTGATCGTATTCTTCCTCCGACGACCCGAACACGTGTCAGGCGGAGAAGGGAGCCGCGCATCGCCGGAGAAGAAGGGCCACATGTCAAGCATCCATTGGCAAAGAAAATCAAAGAAATACTTCGCCTCGGGTAGGATTCGAAGGCCAGCGGCCCGCTACTCGAGTTCGCGACCCGATGACCCGCACGCAACTCGGACCACGACTCGGCTTCTCGTTACCACTCGTCAGCATAAAAGAATTCGGATTTCCAGTGCGTCCTTCTGGTTCCGAACCAACGACCTCGACCTCGGCTGACCATTCAGCGGGCACCACGTGGCAATACCTCAGCATGCGTCTTCCCTCCCTCGTGTGCGTGCAAGCGCGTGAGGTGCTGTTTTTGTCCGTTCGACTTCTGTCTTCCTAATTTTTCTCCCGGTTCTAACTCTAACCCTATTTTTATATGAAATAGAACTTAAATGGGGAAAATTAGTATTTGTGGACACGCTATTAGTGTAGAAACGCTAAACGAAGAACACGCGTCAATCATGTAAGTGACCACACGAAACTTTAGGAAGAAATACTTGTAGGAGTCGTTCGGTTATGCATTAGTTTAATTACCTTAGGTGGTAGCTTTCCATGATTGAATGTAGGTAACTTGTTTGCTAAGAGTATAGATGTATTATGTGAAGTATTTTGAGAATTGTCTGAGTGTTGCAATTATATTTTAAGCTTCCGCTTTATATATATATATGTTTAATTCATGTTGGAAGGAAGACGGGAACTTGGGAACTCTGCACACCGGGAGCTTGATGGATATTATCGTCCCGTTGAGCATGTAGGTTTATTCTGCATGAATTATCTATGATGATGCTAAATGATACTTGTGTGCATATTCAGGTAATTTTAATGACCCACATTTATGATAAAGTCTAGTAATTTGTGGTTAGAGGTACTAGTCACTAAGTACAGACCTAACATGTCTCCAAGGAGCCTATGAAACTAACACGACATACGAATTAGAGTTATAAACTACCACGACATGTCTCCTACGAGCCTATTTTATTCTTTTTGAGATAAAATATAGATGTTATTATTAATTTATCCATCTAATAATAAAAAAAAAAAAAAAAAAAGATAAAGAGGGGTATAAGAGTTATAGGACTAGTTAAACTAGAGCTACCAATTATGCTTCAGTGCCACCAATTTGATTGAAACTCAATACACACACACTAATGGGATATACTCTGCAAGTTAACCAAAGCATAATAAGCTCCCTTTTCCCCAATCCCCATCAGCGACGAGTGATTCCCAGTCTCCACTACCTTCCCTTTATCCAAAACCGCAATCATGTCGCAATTCTGTATGGTGCTCAGCCTGTGCGCCACCACCACGCTCGTCCTCCCCACCATCACTCTCTCCAGCGCCTCCTGCACCAATTTCTCCGACTGCCCATCGAGCGCACTCGTCGCCTCATCCAGCAGCAGCACCGTCGGATTCTTCAGTATCGCTCTCGCTATTGCTATCCTCTGTTTTTGCCCTCCCGACAGCTGCAATCCCCTGTCTCCACACAACGTCTCGTACCCATCCTTCAACCCCGAGATGAAATCGTGTGCGTTCGCTGCCTTCGCCGCTTCGATTATCTCCGATTCGTCCGCCGTTTCTGAATATCCGTACACGATGTTGTCCCTAATTGTTCCGGCGAACAGCGTCGGCTCTTGGCTCACTAATGCGATCCGTTTTCTTAGCGTTCGGAGATGATACGATTTTAAATCTCGACCGTCGAGTTGGATCGTTCCTTTAATCGGGTCGTAGAATCGCTCCACCAGCCCGATTATGGTGGATTTTCCCGACCCACTTTGCCCAACCAACGCCGTGGATTTACCTGCCTCGATTATGATTGAAAACCCACGGAATATCATCGCCTCCGGTCGAGCAGGGTAAGCGAAATCCACTTTCGTGAATTCGATTCGGCCGGTTAATTTATCCGGTTTGTATCCTTCTGGGTGGTCCGGTTCGATTTTGGTCATCCGGTCCAAAACGTCGAAAACCGAACTGACGACGCTGGACCCTTTGGCAAGATCTGACGTCATGCTGCCAGCGTCGGCGATGACACGGCCGGTGCTGACCAAAATGAGGAAGGTTTGGAAGAGACCTTTAGCAGTGGTTTCGCCTTTGGATATTAACTTGCTTCCGTACCAAAAGTTCAAAGCCAATGAGCAAGTGGTGATGCATTGGCAGCAGCCGAGTCCAATTCCGGCATACCATGATTTCTTAATGCCTTGTTGGGTTGGGACTTCTTGCGCCTTCTCGAGCATTTTAAGGATGTGGTCTTGTGAAGAGAAAGCCGTGACGGTTCGGAGGTTGGAGACAGCCTCAGCGGCGAGCTTACTGCACTGTTCTTGGGATTTGGTGGCGTTTTTGGACATCCTCCGTAGGAGTACTTGTCTTGTGTACAAGCTGGTAATTGTCATTGGTTGGACAGAGATTATTACAAACGCCAGCTTCCATGAAAGTATAAACCCCAATGTGAATGCTATCACTACTGCTGAAATGGTTTGCATAATTAGACCGATTCTATCGCCCACTAGGGATCGAACCTGCCCAAAAAAGAGCTCCTGGTCATACTTCAAAACAAA